GTGCGGAGGGCGGCGGTGCAGCGGGGGGCGGGCGTTGCAGGTACCGGTGCTGCATATGCTGTGGAGAGCAAGGAGCATCTGGAGTGGTTAATCACTGAGATACTTGGAACTCAAAAACAGTTTTGGCGGCGTAATCAGTCCAAAAAGTTGACTAACTCTCAATTCTTTCGGTCATGCTGCGAGTGTCCTTTGTGCCGCATGAAGCTTAGTGGTCTCAGGTGCAAAGTGTTCATCCCAGTTGCAAGGGGGTTGCATTATTGCAGTTCAGAGGATGGTGGTGAAATGTCTCAATGGTGGTAGTTAAATCTTACCGCTTTATGCCAAGCATAAATAATAGTTACTTTAGGGTATATAATAATTACAGTGGCTCTCAAAAGGTGCGCTTTCACAAGGTGAGTGCAGGTAGTATTGTGAGTGAGCAAATATCCTACCTGTAAATTTGAGTCCTCAGTGCTTAGTGAGGTACTGAGGGTACCAATGGCTTGCAAATTACTCTGATCTGTTCCCTTCCCCTTCTGGAAAGACTAGGGCAATGCATGTAACTGGAGAAAGTTGTGAGGGCCTCTTTCAGAGAGGACAGAATATTAGGATGTGATTCACCTCATCTATTTTGCCATGCCGGCAGTGATGATGACTGTAACAGAGACTTCTAGGCTTGTCTTTATTGTCAGGAGTACTCTTAGGGCATGCTTAATTTTAGGATGAATGCCTAAAATCAATCGTGGAAATCACTTTCTAGAAATGCCTCTTTGTAGGTTCCCTGAAATTAAGTCAGCTTACTCCTAAACAAAACTATCGCTTATACTGGTGCTTAAAACCACCTTGTGGCTGATGGTCTGACTGATACTTGGTGGCAGAGGTGTGGTTCAGATGAAGTTGAATGTGGCAGGGAAATAACTCACTGAACCATCTGCCCTAAACTTCCTTGAAACTCTTGAACCTGAGCATGGAAAAGAACTGTTGTGGTCATGCTGGTGGTGATGCCTTCCTGCTGGTGGGTAACTGAATGTTCATATTCTGTTGTTAGGCCTGTGGGCTACTTCCCGTGTTGTAACAGGAGCAGACTGTCGGGCGTTGAGTAGCACTGTGAGGCACTGGTGTGCTTGCCACTTGCCCTGTCTCACTGTGGCTCGTTCATCTTCCACCAAGGGACTCGTTCCAGCAACTCTACTTTATCATAGTTACTCTGGGAAAGCTGCCAGAGAGCACTCCATTTTTTTCTTCCTTATTATATTTCCAAGCGTTTGTGGATTTGTATGGAAACACGAGTGGCAGTACTGTGAGTTGGTGATAACTACCTCCATATCCCTACCTTCAGCTGAATTGGACAGAATTTGAACACTTAGAAATGTTTCTGGCCTTCCTCTGTATTTGAAAGGATGCTGATAGATAGATAATGCAGAAGTTATGTCCATGTTTCTTATTATCGTGTATTCCCTCTATTTTGATATGGCTGAAATACAAAAAGAGGCTTTTCTGCATCCTTTTGTGCCTAGGAAGTTAAATGGTAGCATTCTCCTCCACAGTTTATATTGCTGGAACGAGCTGTCATGAGCTAGAGCAGAATGCAATGACATGGCAGGAGTGAAGGTTGGTTGTGCTTTTATGATTTTTTTATGGCTATGAGTATTTTTTGATAGCGTGGTATTGGGTTTTGAAACCTTAAGTGATAGGTAATTTTGTCTGTTTGCAGACCACTTTCACATACAGCATTGTAAACATAATTGTAATTATAATTCCTGTCTGTATAAAGCAGAGTGAATTGCTAAAATGGTATTTTCCACGAAGAACCCTTAATTTTGTAGTCTAAACAGGGTATCTCTGAGTTCTTGCCAGAACTTTCTTGGTTATCCAAGAGAAGATGGGGGGGGAAATTATAGACTCATGGAATCATTTAGGTTGGAAAAGACCCTTAAGATATGATACAGGTTGGATGTATGGAGCAGCAAAAACACTTTTGGTGTAGTCAGTTACTTGAGGTCACATAGATGTGAATTGGACTTCAATTTTGTCATTTTGAGTGGTTTTTGTACATTCAGATGCAGAGTAGGATTTAGCCTCCCTGCCCTTCATTAGCACGCCTCTTCCCACCATGTAAAACAGGCATCACTGTGAACCTCCTCCAGTAATAGCAGAGCTGTATTCTCACCAAATTTTATAACTTAATAAAAGTGCAG